TGGCAGCAGCTTTTGACAAATTCACCATGAAGTGGCAGAAACGACCAATAGGTGCAATTTATTGTGTGCTATTTTCTATTTTTTGTCCATCTACGTTTTATTTTATAGCGTGACTGCCAGACTGTTAGCTTTTCACTAATGCCTTAAGGCATTGCTGACTAAACAAACCATCACTGAACCACAACACATCTACTCCCACTCCTGCGCCCCGATTCCCTTATCTTTCCTCTGCACCCATATCACCCAGTTACACTGATACATGTCACATGTTCTGTACACACAAATAGACAGTGTGATTCTGTACTGGACATTTTCTGAGCCTTACTTTTACAAGACAAGGACATACATGTTTTTTTACATGAGAAAGTAAAAGGTAAAAGTGAGTTAGATTAGTCCTTGAGTGGGTGAAAACACATGTACATGAAATGTGTAGCCTCGAGGTATATGTGTCCCATTTCAGTTTGCGCTTTGCATTGTTTTCTGGTAATGTGTTTACCTGATGTCCTGATGAACTCAGAATCCAGTACATTTCCACAGCGTTAATTCCATCTGTACAACAACAAAGTCATGTCATGCCATCTGTTGCTCTGACTTTTTCTTTTAAACATAATTACTACTCTTACTCACTAATTACCACCAATTGCATCTACTTTGCCTTTTTTGTTTTACCAATAATAAGCTACTTATTATAAATGAAAACAGTATTTCTATTGTATAGAGAAAGTCAGAGCAGCAGACTGGTATGATATGGTATGCTTTGACATAACTGTGCTGCTGTAATGGTGGAATTAGTACAGACTATTGAGAGGGACATTGAGTGGGTGTCATGTCTTGAATGTGAAGCAGAGATGTGAAATGGTTATAGTGAAATAGTGAAGAGAAGGGTTCTGCAATAGGTTCTGAAATATTTGTATTTTCTGATTTACATTTCATTTTCAGGAATGATTTGCATTGCAATATAAATAGAGCCAAAGAAAAACTAAAGATCCATAAGTAACTATGGAAGAATGAACTCTGGAATAAGCCAAAGCTCAGACTAACTAACAATGTCAAAATAAAAGAAAAATACGACACCAAACCTTATAAAAAATCCCAGAGATGGCTGAGGCCCCTATGTGCTCCATTAAGAACCATTACCTTCCCACTGACAATTGAGGTAGGCGGAGACAAAGATATTCCTAAAGAACAGCATTTATGTGTTTTCCTCGGTGTTGTTGATGATGAATTTCATTTTATGGAAATGGCATAATTTGAAATGTTCTCTTTTTTAATTTTTGAGACTGTATGATTGGTCACGTGGCCATCCTGGTTGTCGTTGCTGTCCAATGTCTTGCAAGCCTATATGGGCTGGGTCACCATTTGGTGCAGAACACTCAAATGTTTTTAATGTAATTTGACATCAGCCCTCCCAAGATGAGTGAGGTGAAGAAGGCAAGATCGGCATCCCTACCAGGCCCATACCATCTACTAGAATGCCAGGATGATCTGAAATTCCTCTGAAGTCTGATGAGGGGGCAGTGTTGATCCCAAAATAAAACAATTCAAGCACTTTCTGTATGGATGATTTAACAACTGTCCCCTTCCTGCATCTGAAGATACTGTTATTTAGCCCACTGCATGGTAACGAGGAGGAAGTGGACCCAATCTTAAGTTGTTCAGTGTGCTAGGATTGCTCTTCACTTCAAGAATGCGGTTGACCAAATCCAACATGGGAAAGCCGGTCTTAGTCTTGTCAGAAAAGTTCTCCAATGGCACAAGGCAACATCAGTCCAGAAGAGACAACTCGTGGTAGAGGAGATGAGAAGACAGGAGGAGGAAGAGCAACACACCAAGGCCATCTCAATGGCCAAGCAGGGCCAAAGGACTAACTGGGAGAGCCTGGAAAAGAGGAAAGTCTGGAGGGATCTTGGCTTAGTTTTTGTCATCAGAGCCACTTATGACCTTCAACCCACGTCCCGAAACCTGAAGCTGTGGTTTGGAGAAGACCCTGCTTGCTCCCTTTGCCAAGCACCTGATGCACAATGAGCCTTGCCCAAGGGCGTTAAACTTGGCAGCATAGCAAAGTTCTCAGACAGCTGTCATCAATCGTGGAACAGAGGCAAACCACCACAAATGCTTTCCTACAAACTTCAACAGGAAATGTACCCTTCACAGCATTTGTAACAGCAGGCCAATGTCCAAAGCACCAGATGATATCAATAGATGGAAGTAGTCTGCAGGCTGCTCAGGATTGGAAAATGTACATGGAATTGATTGAAAAGCTTGTGTTTCCCCTAGATATTGTGACTGCAACACTCCAGCCAGACATGGCCAGGTGGTCCACAACAGCCGACTGGCATACATTGTGGAATTGACAGTACCATGGGAAGAAGAAAAAGACCAAAAACTTTGAACTGGCAACTGAAGCTGCCCGGAACGGCTGAAAGACCCAAGATGATCCTTGTAGGAGTGAGATGCAGGGGATTTGTTGCTACATCTACGACCAGTCTATTGAGGATTATGAGGCAAGAGGTCGACAAGCCATCAAGTCCTCATCAAATGCAGCAGAAAAACAATCAATTAGCTTTAGATTAAAACAAAAGACTACTGGACTGCAAGATGAATACTGTAGAGTATGGAACATTGATGAACCTCTGGGCTTATCAATTAAACATCGAAGAAGGAGGGTGTCGACCTGATGACCCCGATGACGTATCTAACCTCCTTTTTACTACTCCAATCCCACTGACAACATTAAATATCCAGATTTACCACAGGGATTGAAACATCTAGTCATAGTAGCTAAAAATGTGTTATTATTGAAGATATTTGTATTTTATTTTATTTGAGAATTTAAAGTAATTATCATCATATTGTGCTTGAGCTCTCGTCTGTTGGGGCAGTGATTATAATGTACCGTATTTTCCGCACTATAAGGTGCACTGGATTATAAGGCGCACCTTCAATGAATGGCCTATTTTAGAACTGTTTTTATATATAGGGCGCACCAGATTATAAGGCGAATAGAAGCTACTACAGTCAAACGTTTGACTGTTCGAGTTTGTCCTCTAACTGTGGCCATCTCGCTTTGTTCCCTCGGAAACTCTTTTTAGTCTTCTTTACTTGGCACAGGTCATCTTCTTGCTTCCTCCACTTCCGTACCATTGATTCATTAATGTTGAATTCTCTCGCTGCTGCTCTATTCCCATGTTCGGCTGCGTAGCTGACAGCCTTGAGTTTGAACTCAGCGTCGTAAGCGTGTCTCTTGAAAGGTGCCATTTTGGGGTCTTTATACACACAAGTGGTGTTGGACTAGGAGTAAGCACAGTACCGGTGTTTACCGCTATTACTTCGGCGACGCCCCTGACTACGGTAGCTGTAATGCTGCAAGCGGTGCGGCTTTGTAGTTTACCAGTCGTACTGAAACATTTTGACAGAGCGCCGTGTACAACCAGTATAGATCAACCAATTAACCAATTGATCCATATATAAGGCGCTCCGGATTACAAGGCGCACTGTCGTTTTTTGAGAAAATTAAAGGCTTTTAAGTGCGCCTTATAGTGCGGAAAATACGGTAAGTGTGCAATTAAGGACTGAGGACCCTCCACGATCTGAGTGGACTAAATTAATTTGCTTGTAATCTGCACAGTTATAATTTGGGGTGAGGGAAAAAATTGATACAGCATAGTATCGCGACATTTTGCGTGGCAATATTGTATCAAAACACAAACGCCAAGTATCAATCTTTTATTTTATAAACTATTAATATTGCAATTAGGAATGTGGGAATAACTGATTCAGCGATAACTGCAGTTATATAAGTCACGGTTTCATAACCATATGGTGTCCTGATTCCTGTATTGAGACACGGTTTTTGTGTGTGCAGTGAAATCTCCTCTTGCGTGAGTCATGCAACATGTGTGTGTGTGCGCCGGTTTGCTTTGTGTGTTTGAGAGAGTCTTGTCACTTATCTGAAGCTTGCTGTAAACATTTCAGAGATCAACATTGAATCTTTCTAGTCACTGGACGGATAGTAATACACTGTGAATGACACATCCGTGTTGAAATCGGCAGGAGGAGAGCTAGTAATGTTAGCAACGGCTGTTGTTTTAATGGAGAAGAGCCGTACGTCTCTGACATGGAGGTTCCAATTACTTACATTGCGGTGCGTTCAAACTCTATTTAGTAAAAATGAGTATTGGACGAAAGCTAATTATAATGTTATCATGATGTTTTCATATGTAATATTGCAAAATGTAGTTTTGGTGAGAACCTTGAATAAATCCAGGTGCTTGAAGGAGATGTTTTCACAACATAAATATATATTAGAGAGTGATTTATGACCTGCTTAACTTCTTAACACTAGCTCTAAGCAGTCCATAATACATCATTGAAATTACAATTGTCAAGATTTTTTAATCAATAAAAACACAATCTTTTATTTCTTAATCATTTGAATTGTGTGATTTATGTAAATCACCACTACATATGACAAAGTAAAAGGATAGAGTTGATGATGGTAATGAATATTTTAGTTCATTGGCTAAAGGCCTTTAATAAGAAATGGATTGAAGTGGGATAAACCGTGTGAACACTTTATCGTATTAGAACAGATGTTGACAAACTAAATAAGTTGCAGTTGAAAATAGAAAATGAATCGCAATATATTGCAACGTTTGATATCACAATTACCATATTGCAAAATGTTTAAAACTGCAATAATATTGTATCGTGGGGCCTCTGGTGATTCCCAACCCTGGTAATAACAAATTGGTTAGAGAGCCCATCTGCAACCAGGAGACCTGGGTTCAAGCTTGCTGTTGGGAAGTATCTGCCCTCCCTGTTCATGTGACCTGTGTCCTTGATAAAATGCAGTACATCAGTCAGCTCTAACTGTCTGTCTTCTGACCTCCCTGGAAGGGTTAACCACACACATTTTGTTCGTTGAAACTACAAGGGAAATAAGAAGAAAATTCACCCTTCAAAAGAACCGGCGAGGAATAAAAATAGATGTTTCTCACCAGCGGATGTGTGAACTCAGGGGCATGATCGTTCTTGTCTGTGATGGTAATGGTAGCCGTGGCTGTTCCTGTTAGGCCCACCTCACTTCCTGCCATGTCCTTGGCCACAATCTCTAACTCATATGTTGTGGTCGGCAGTGTCTGGAAAATAAACACAACGTGATTTAGAGTTAAAGATCATACATATATTCTTTCAAACTTTTATATAAGCCTAAAAATGTATTTACAATGATGACAAGTGAAAGAAATCAAAACAAAAGAGGACAATACTCAGTGAAAACAATTGCATATATAAAGGATAGTGCTGTAAGGTTAAAGGCACAACAAAGAAGCAATGCAAGTATACATTTTTTAACAGAATAAAAGACAAAATCAAGTGCAAACAGTGGTAGTTTCTGCATCATAGATGACTCATACGCACACACTATTGTGGTGATAATCTTCAGATAATCTATTTGAGAGGCTGCTCATTAAAAATAATGAATGAGTAGCCATGTGTGTGATCAAATGAATCCACCTAAAGCAAACCTAACACTTATCACCATTTTTACATTGATGCAAGACCCTTTGACAAAGCTGAAAAGCTTTTATAATAGTCCACTAGAGGCTTGAATCTACCATCAAATTGACTGGATAATGGCTGAAAAAAATCATCATAGTGTAAATATGGACCTTCATGCTCATATACCAGTGTTAAAAGCTCCAGTAAACACTTGCGTCATCTCTAGGGAAAGGTCAGGAATCCACATTTTTATACTTTTTAGAACAGATAAGGTAGTCAAAGAGAGAGAGAAAAAAGGGTCCCTAAAGCTATGCAGAAAGGGATCAAATATAAGCATTCTGCGGACGGTTTGAGCTCATCCATTTTAAAAGATTCCAGAGCGGCTTAGAAGCGGGTTTTTACACACATCTTCCACAATGCTCTGGGGCATCTCAGATCAAGAGTTCTAGGCCCTGCTGGAAAAGACAAACTATTTCCCCTTTATATAATCTGCAAAATCACACCATTGACATATTTAGAGATTTTGTGGCTTTTGCAAGGCTTTTAGAATCTCCGAAGATATTTTTGTTGTTGATTTCGATGTTGGAGATGAAAGAATGAGTAATAATAAAACCCAAACTGCACCCATATCTGCTGATTTTACATTCCTACACAAGCTAGGGAGAGGGATCCGTCCTCGACTACAAAGTAGCTTTCCAGAAGCGCAAAACATCCAATTTAGATATTTAATTAATTTACTGGCCTGGCAGCATCTGTAATCTATATAACAATTGGAGAAATCCTGCTCATACATACAGCGAGAGGAAAGCCTTCATAATGATCATAGCAGGGATAATCATTTGTTGCCATAATTCATGCCTAATTGAAATGTTGACTCTGGTGTATAAATAACAGGAGGTAGGGGCTGGTAAAGCCAACATATATTTATCCGCTGCAGTGTTGTCTCCCTACTGGGGGGGTGTTAACTGTCACATGCTTAATAAACTTCATCCTTCTGTCTCACTGAAAATGCTGCTGGAGCTCTCGCCTGCATTGTAGATTCACCTCTGACTGAATGCATACTCTTCTCATTGTCCCCTGGAACAAAAGAGGACTGGGATGCACACACACACACACACACACACACACACACACACACACACACACACACACAAGAAAACCAGGCTCCCGTTTGTTGTTTTGATCAAAAAGCAACAAACCAGAAAACTAAATTGTGGTTTTCCTTGTTGTGTTTGTCGGACAGGCTTTTTATTAGGCCCTTGTTTAACACGCTAACTAAAGTGCCTATAGGAGGGCATTTATAGGCCACCTGATGGTCACTAAGGTACTGCTCTAGCTGAGCCTGTTTTTACAGTGTAGTTACATTAGACAACTGTTCAAGCTCCTTGCAAAAGTGTTTTCTTTCTGAAAGATTTGAATTTCACGTCTTTTTTACAGCATTACATGGTTGGATTTAAGCAGTGGCAGTGAAACAATACTAGTGATCTATTATTTGTGATTTCATGTCTATTTTTATGCTGTCATTTATGCCAGCTCATGGTTTGGCACAAATAAAAAGTAGACTATAATTGTTTGGAATATTTATCCCCTTCAATTGCATTTACATTGATGCTTATTATACAAACTCTGATTAACATTATCAGAGTGTGTATCATTTTCTCTGCCTCATCATGTCCCTGATCTTTATACCCGTGGACAGTCAACCTGATAATTGTTGATGATATTGTTAACTGACAAAGAGCTGTGACCCAACATCCCCTCATGTTGCACACAAATCCTCTGCTCTGCTCAGCGTCAAACTGAGCAGCAGTGGCAGTCGTCAGTGTGTTCGTGTTCTACTTTTGCCTCATCAAAAATAGTGCTCTAATCTATTTCATCTGAGGCAGGCAGGGGGGGGGGATCAAACGATCGATGGGTAGACACCTTGAGGCCGTTTTTAATCATCACATCACAGAGAACGTAGACACAGTGATAAGTATTCACAGAAATCACATTATGAGGTCAGGAGCAACGTAATGGAAGACTTCGGGGCAAAAACTGAATTCTCAAGAGTGGACCTTTTGAAATACCAAATTTACTCAAAACGGGAAACAATTTAAATGTCCTTAACTGTCTTAACTGGTTTTATATACCGGGGACATTATATACAGACGAAGGGACCAGCTGAGAGGCTAGTGGTTCCCTTCTGTCGTGAACTCCATCCATTCAAGCAACTGCTTTCAGGGGGTTCCGTGGAAAGAGTGAGACGATAAACAGGTGTTTCTATCAATAGTTGGTGTCCCTCACAACCAGCTCCTGCTCGATCAAACATTGTGCAGGCAGATGGTGCTCCATGGACCTGTGAGTTTATTAAACCCATGCACACAACCACATGTGAATACACACACATGCTGATTGTAAAAAACACACACACACACACACACACACACGCACACACACACACACACACACAGGTACACGTTTGCCCTCCAGCTGGAGAAGAGAAGGACTCTGGAATACCTGCAGTCTCAGTGGTGTCTAAACACATTGAGCGTGGCCTCCTCTGGCGACTGACAACGTCTTAATGAGTAGTTCCTGAGTCTCAACTCAATTATAAACTCCCTGGAAGTACCTGGCCAAGAAAATCTGTTCAAATTCACGAGAGATACAGAGTTACAGCAATGGGGAATTTTCCCTCCAGGTGTCAGAAAACTTCTACAGGCAAAGTGTTGATTGAGATACTCTTCTCAGTAAGCCCCTTCATTTTTCAGCTCCTTGTTAATTCGTCTGGAAATACTTGATTAAACTTTTGGGAGCAGCAAAAGTGTTGAAGTCAAAGGAAAAAAGTTACTCTTTGGCCATTTCTTCTGTGGGTCTAATTAGACAAAATTAAGTGATTGGCTGCATGTTCAATAGAAATATAAAGCTTTGGTGTTCAACCTACAGTAATATTCCCTCGATACAGAAGGTCTATGTCTTTTCATGCTGTAGTTATTACATGTTTTTCAGCTCACTGGCTTCCAATACTTCTGCAGGTATTAACATTATCACTTCATAAGGATATTATGATTATGATCACACTGTATTGTTGTTTCATAAAAACGTGGTATGCAAATTAATTATCAATATGGAGTATGAAGTTTAAGACTCTACGAGCCTCTGTGAAGGCTGTACTGAGGCACAGCAGTGCTTTGAGCTAAACACTAATATCAGCATGCTAACATGCTCACAATGATAATGCCAACATGCTGATGTTCACGGGATGTAATGTGTGCACCGTGTTCACCATCTTTGTTTATTTTAGTGTGTTAGCATGCTAACGTTTGCTAATGATCACTAAACACAAAGAACAGCTGAGGCTTATGGGAAGGTCGGTTGTCCTATGGTAGATAGAATTTAACCAAAGTACAGGTCAAATTACAAATTTGACCCGATAATGACGCTAGATGTAAAGTCAAGGGATCACCACAGTTATTCCAAATCACAGGAAGCATCAATGTCGGAATTCAATTTCAGGGAAATCCATCCAATAGTTGTTGAGATAAGTCCGGACCAACCGCCATGGCCAACCCTAGAGTAATGCCGCTAGCATGGCTAAAAACCTTCCTATTCATATCTCAATACTGATACTACCTTAGAACCTAGCCTTACAGTAGAGTTTACTGCTGCCCTATATTACGTGTAGGAGTGTGACCGAGCGTCCTGGGTTCGTGTATGAGGGGCACTTATAAGACGGTAATAATCGGAGTCGGGAGACCAGACATCTCGTTCAGCCCAAAGCTTCTCTCTTTATTTTTGTTCCCCCCCTTCGACCAGAGGCGGGAGTTGCTTTACCTCTACGGCAACCCTGAAGGGACATATCATCTCCAATACAAAATGATAAACATGAGTCTGTTACAGGAGTAAAACAAAGTCTACACTGGTACTACTGTTCCTGCTGAGACTACAGGCAGCATAACCTTTGTCCACTCAAAGCTTCATTGAAGACAAGTGTGATCTTTGGTAAATTCTTGGACTATCATAGTTAAGGAAGCACAGTATCCACTAGACGAGTAGCATTGCTTTCTTTCCAATGCACTGTGCAACTTTCATTGTAAAACGTAAGTGGGAGAAAAACCAGGAACCCACAAGTGATTTCATTGAGCGATGGTGTTTGTGAAAGCTGACGAACAAACTGAACAAAGAGCTCATTTAGTCGAGTGTAACAAATGATATGGCAGGCCTTGTTTACGAGACATCTGATCGGAGAATGACATTTCAGACCGTCACATTCTGCCTTGGAAGGATTTCATAAAGCCCTTCGAGTGAGGGCTGATCCCCGGCACAAAGCAAGGAGAGGATGAGAGTAGGAAAGAGAGAGAGGAATGGAGAGGGACAAGTAAAGAAAGGGAGAGAGCAACCTCACATCTCTGAGACACCACATTAACTCTCTGAATAGGTGTGATATTATAAAACTGGCAGTGAGTTCTTTGTTCTCCTCTGGACCTTCACTAGTGCTCCCTCTCAGCCCCAAACCACTGGCTATTGTTCAGGCTCCTTTTCAAATTCTTAGAGAAATGATGACAGACATAAAAAGGCTTCGGGGAAAAAACAGAGCTATATGAAAATCCACTAGTGACAGTATTTCTACAAGAGCAACATTATTCCTCTCACCTTTATG